ATAACTCATCTATCAACAGGAGAGTGGTTATATATGTTGTGATATGTTTCTGCAAAAGAATGCTATGTATGGTGTCAGAGAAAAGCTAATAAATCAGAACTACAAATAAAAACATGGACAAACCTCAAAAACAATGTTCACTGATATCCAGTTGGAAGTTACTGATAACATAAATTTTTCAAAACTATACATTTTGCATATTTATGGATATATTTCACTTGTGAAGAAATAAAAAAACACACATGTGATTGACACATATCAAAACCAAGGTAGCAGGTACCTCCGAGGGTAAGGGAAGAAGATCTGCATGGGCTATTCAGGGGCCTACACTGTAGTTTTAAAATTGTATTTCTTAAAAAAAAACTAAAGCAAATAAGATGAAATGTTAGGCTTTGGCAAAACTGGAAGGTGAGTACACCAATGTATTACTCTTTTTTTTTTTCTCCAGTACCGGGGATCAAACTCAGGACCTTGCATTTGCAAGGCAGGCATGGCACCACTGAGCTAAATCCCTAGCACCATAGTGTATTATTCTTTACACTTTCATTCTTGAAACTGTTACATCTGGTTGGGGCAGATTTTTGTCTAGCGTTGGTAAAAAAAATCTACATCAATAAAAGAATTTGAGATACACGTTCAGAAGGAGAAGTAAAATCATTTTATTGGAAAGGGAAAAGAAATGGGGAAGTAAAATTATTTTATTGGGAAAGGAGAGGAAATAAGTAGACAGATAGCTACCATGTTTGAGTAAGATAGGGACCCCAGAGCTGGTACTCAAGAGGGTCTTTGTTTTAAGTTTCCTTTATTACAAGTGTTATAACAACCCTTGAGAGTTGTTATGACTTGATTGGCTATCTTGGTCTCTGAAACCCTTGATTTGGCATTGTCCCTTTCATTGCCTATGTGCACATTCTTGGATAAGCATTTCTTTGGTCTCTTTGTACTGTCTAGGTGCTTATCTTGAGAGATTTACATCAGAGTTACATTCAAGGCTGAATTAGTAAAAAGGATACGTGTGCATTTTGGTGTATTAATATGGCGAGAATAATAATAATATATATATATGTACATATATATATGTGTGTGTGTGTGTGTGTGTGTGTGTGTGTGTGTGTGTTGAGGTGTTAGTGTATATTTTATAAACTAAGTCAGTTTTTATGATACAGTCCTCTCCCTCCCCACTCTGTTTCCCTTGTACTTAATTGAAGATGGAAGGAGGAAGTTGTGTCTTCCAATGAAGTGACCTAGGTCAGGCTTTCAGCTCTCTCCCTCTCTCTCTCTCTCTCTCTCTCTCTCTCTGTCTCTCTCTCTCTCTGATTGTCCTTCAGTACTCCCACTGCTACTGGCACCAGCATCCCTGGATAACTGCAGTTGCCTATTCTTGTTTTCTGTGTTATTCTACTACAGTAATTCTCAACAGCCAAAATGACCTTTTATAACAAATCTCACTATCCCCCTGCTTAAAGTCTTTCAGTGAAGTTCCACCACGTTCAACCTAAGAATCTAGCTCCTTATCACAGTTGCACAGATCCTTGTTTTGTCTACCTTGAGCCCTTGTTCCCTGGGTTCCATTGTTTTTTTTTTCCTCCACTATCACTATCTTTTCAAACTGTTGTTTTCCTTTTGCAACTTCACACTACATCAAATTTAATTAATTCATGGATGATGGGTTCAACAACCATATCGTCTCCAGTCCCCAGTAGAAAATAAGTTCCATAAAGACTGAGACTTCGTTATCTTCAGTACCCCTTTGCTAAGAACATTGCCTCATTCCAAGTATGGAAGAAATATTTTCTAAATGAATGCTCTTATTTTCATTAAAAAAAGAGACAGTAGGTGGTCTTTGGTTCAATCCCCAGAAGAAAAATAAATATAAATGAATAAACAAATGAAGAGGAAAAAGGGAAGAATGCCATTAAGTGGTAAATATGGTATAATTAAATATGGAGGATAAAAATTATTCTATCAATAACAATTTTTATACTTAAGATTCACTAAGCACTCACTATATGCCAAACATTTCCTAGCACTGGAGCCACATACTTTTGGGGTGCACATCAACCTTGGTCTTTTTTTCATAGGCCTTTGCAGACCTATTTTTATAGGGGAATCTTACACGGTAGCCACAGGTGATTCAATTTGGAAAAAATGTTGACTGGGAAAAGCCAGTCTGCTAGTCACCGGGAGCAAACATTCTTTTTCTTTCAAGTTGGAGATGAGTATTGTGCAGGCTGAAAAAGTCTGAAAGTGAGTCATGCTAATGGCAGGACACTTTTGAGTGAAGGAAACTGCTGCTGAGGTCTCTGAAGCCACTTGGGTCACTGCCCTTTCGGAATCTTGTTCAATGTTTCCTTGACAAAATGATCTAACTTTCTGTAAAATGTACTCCTTTCATTTTTAAAATGAATGCATTTAAGTTTCTTTGTTTTGTTGATTCAGTCTCCTAAAAACAAAAAAGCAAACAATCCTTAGTCAGGAAACTTGACTAAGGCAGTCCTTTCCATGCCTGTAATCTTCGTTACACTGTGGGAGGGTGTCACACTTCACATTTTACACAGGAAGAAACAAGGCTTAAAGAAGTTCAATACCTTTTCTAGAACTACAGAGCAGTAAATGACAGGGCAAGAGTCCAGCGCTGGCCTGTGTCCCTCTAAAAAGGAGCCATGAACAGCTACATATAGCTACATGAAGGGCAACATTGCTTCAGTGGTTTAGCATAAGCTACAAAAAGACACAGTAGGGGGGAAAAAATGACACAGCAACAGGGAAAAAAAAAAGCAAAACAAACCACAACTCACCCCAAACCAGATTTCACTATTTTTGGATAAGATCCAGTAAAAGCTCTTTATTCTTACATATCTACAATAGGTGGCAGAGAGATACACCAATATAGAATATCTGTCATTAAAAAATTCTTTGTTTCCATTGACACAGTTGGCAATTTTAAAAGAATGACAGGATGCATGATTTTAGCAACATACAAAAATCAAGTTTTAACAGTAGACATTTAGGGATCGCTTACAGTTGACTGTCAGAATGTATATATTAGGTAGATATATTTCTTTTCATTCTTGAAAATTTCTCTCATTCCTGTGTGTCCAGAGAAGCTCTGCTGAAGGCAGTTGGATATAAACGAGATGGTGAACACAGAAGTTGGAAGTAGTCAATTGTGGAGGAGCCAGGAAGGAGGAAGGGATAAGAACTGATGAATTAATGAATGATTTGAAGAGAGTAACCAATGAATCAAAAGCTTGTGATTAAAAAAAAGTGCCTCAGAAATCTCTTTATACCATGTCCTGTCTAGGGTTGAGGATGTAGATTGGTGGTAGAGTACTTGTCTAGCATGTGCAAAGCCTTAGTTTCCCCACTCCCAAAGGAAAAATCCTTTTTATATGGAAAAAACATTTCTATAAAAGAACAAGTGGAATAGCTTATTTTTTCCCAATTAAAGTTGGACTGTGTTTTTCATTATAAAGTAACATGCCTTGAAAAACAAGTGGTAAGTTTTATATATATTAAGGGACACAATTTTGAAATGTCATTAATGTTCACAACAGATAATTTGGATTTTTTTGGGGGGAGTGCTAAAGATTTAATAAGGGTCCTCTGCTGCTGAGTTCTTGCTTTGCCACTGAATTATACCCTCTTCTCAAATAATTTTAAAATATTCATTTTAAAAAAGACACGATCAACCAAATGTGGTGGTATACAGCTATAATCCCAGCACGCTGGGAGGCTGATGCATAGGGACTGCAAATTAGCTACTTAAGGAAATCTTGACTCAAAAAAAATTTTAAATTGACCAAGAAGAGGGTGAGGAGTAAAAATGATTGAGATTTGATATGTGTACATACCCATCCCCATGATTAATGTAATTATTATGAATCACAAACACACTAATAATTTTTTTAAAAAACGGGGACGTAGCTCAGTTCAAAGACCTCAATTCTCTAGTACCAAATTTTATTTTTATTTTTTTCCCAAAAAAAGCTTTGCATTTACAAAAGATTGTTTCCTATACAGATTAATCTAGGCAACTAACTCATTGGTTTATGCAACTTTATTGAACAAAAATAAATCAAAGAAGAACTATTAGTTGATCACTCATCCATTGACAACTTGCATCATTTACTCAGCGCTATATTAAGCAGTGTATTGGAAGACAGATTAACTAATAGCTCCAAGCTTCCTAATAATTTAAATGAAAATTACAAAATGTTTTGAGACCCTATTTTGGAATACAAAGGGTGTTTGAGTTCCAATTTCCATTCTCTGTAGAACAAGAACAGGTCATTCCTTTATTGACATGCATAAAATACATCACTTTTCTGTTCTGCTGATGCTATAAATTCAATGCCAATACTCCAGCCACACCAGTTATGAGCATAAAGTATATCATGTAACCTCAAATCTCTAACAGTGGAAGGCTTAACAAGCATGGATACTGCTAGAATAATGCTGTTTTCTTGCTGTGACAACAGAGCATCCATCTGCCCCACCCTCAGTTGGCTTCTTCAGCAGTTAGAGTTGTGAAGAATGGTTTAAGTCTCTTAACCAGGTTAGAGTGAAGACAATGGCCACATAATACAAATGCTCCATTTTTTTAAAAAAAATTCTGAATCTTGGGCAACTGTTCTCTTGTAGCTACTTTACAGCTTCTAAAAGACGTTACTGTCCAAAGCTGGAAGAACTTAAGTCTTCTCAGATGAGCATGGGAATGAATGGAGGTAAACAAAAAATAAAATTAAAAAGGATGAGGTCTGATAGGGGAGCAGCCGGATAAGAAAATCAAAAAAAGGAACAGTGATTTAAAGTTATTTTCCAGGGCCGGGGATTTAGCTCAGTGATTCCGCCGCTTGCCTCGCAAGCACATGGACCCGAGTTTGATCTCCATTACCAAAAATAAAAATTTAAAAATAAATAAATAAAGTATTTTCCAGATATAATGCAGGCTATTCTGATGTTAAGGTAGCATCACGTGACATACTTTTGAGTCCATTCTAGAGATATCCTGTTGTACTTGTGTCTATTTTATAGATCCATGCAATCTTTGGCACTAGGGGGTCATCTGGGATTGGATCACATAGCAGTGAACAAATGGATAAAAGAACTTTAGAAACAGTTGAAGCAGGAGACCACTGTGATCTTAGAATATCGAGACAAATGCTGTGGTTACTGTTTATATTTGAATGATAAATTCTTGTTGTAAACGTAATCTTAGGCGGTTTGAAGGGGTAGTCTGTAGGAAAATGAATTGTCGAAAAAGAATACACCACCTTGATATGCGCTGTCATTAGGTTCCATAATTGTGGCTTGCCAATGGAACATGTCATCTCCCACTGGGCCTGCGGAACATTATGCTGGAGGGTCACAGGTCAAGTCACTAAGTTCCTTAATTAATACGCTTCAGCGCCACAGTCTGTGCTGTCCCGGCCTTAGGTGTCCGCATGTGCTGGTCCTGGCACATCTGGATGGTCCTTGGCTCCCAGCTGCTCAGACACCGTGTGGATCCCTCCGCCAACCCGGCCCAGTGAGCTAGCGCAGCTCAGCCGCCCAGTCCCTGGACAGCTCAGCTGGTGCACCAACACCTCCCGCTTGGAACAGTACCTTTCCCCAGTACTAAAATTTAAAAACACAGTGTCTTGCTATGTTCTCCAGGCTGATCTTGAACTTCTGGGCTCAAGCTATTCTCCTGCCTCGCCTTCTAAGTAAGTAGTACTACAGATGTACTACCACACCCAGCTTTTTATTTCTATAATTCAATAATGTTTAAAGAATAAACATTTTAATGAAAGTTTTATAATATAAGAGAAAAATATGACTTTCTCAGGAATCAAGAGAGTTCTTATTTTCTCTGTGAATGCAAATAGTTTAGGAAGTAATACACTGATATTTTAAAACAATTATCTAACTTTAAGACTGGTTTCATTTCCCTATCACCTTTGGTTCTATTTTAGAGGCAATTTTGACTCTCAGAGGACATTTAGCAATGCCTGAAGATAGTTTTGGTTTTTACAATTTGGGGGAGTAGGTGTTGGCATCTAGTGGATAGCAGCAAGGGAAATGTCCCTTAATGCATGGCACAGCCCCCACAAAAAGAATTATCTGTCCCCAGTGCCAACAGTGATGTGGGTGAGAAACCGAACTGTGTCCTCATCTCGCACATCCACCTTAAAGAAAACTTCTTGAGAAAAATTGAGACACCTAAAGGAAACAACTTTGCCTTTGCTGTTTCTTTGTAAAGAAGTAGCTCTATCTAAATCAAATTTTAACACCAGTTGAGATGAGACCAGCAAGGCATTTTTATATCCAGGTGCCTAGATGCTCTGGAACACCACAGAACAATGCTCCAGATAGAAGGGTGATAAGACCTCCATTCTAGAAAATCAATTCTGGGAGCAACTTAGCAGCTAGGGGAGTCCCTCCTCCTAAGCACACTCGGCAGCCTTATCTTCATCAAGACATGCTCCATAATCTTTCTGATTTGTCTGAAATCCACCCAAAGTCCCCTTTTTTATTGAAGAATATTTCCATTGGATGTAGAACTCTGAGTTGATAATAAATTTTTTTCTTTCAGTACTTTAAAGATATATGGCATATCTCTAAAATAGTTTGGTTTGGTTCAAGAATATTGTAATAAAGCAAATATTGCAATAAGGTTGTTTGCACATTTTTTTGTTTTCCACTGAATATAAAAGTTATAAATATTGTTTAAAATATGGTCTATTAAATCTACAATAACATTATTTCTTTAAAAAGTGCATACTTCAAAAATATTATACTGCTAAAAATGCTAAGGATGATCTGAGCCTTTGGTGAGCCACGATCTTTTTGCTGGTGGAGGGTCTTACCTTATGCTGATACTTAATCACTGATCAGAGTGGTGGCTCTTGAAGGTTGAGCTGGCTGTTACAATTTCTTAAAATAAGACAACAGTGAAGTTTGACACATGTATTGACCCTTCCTTTCATGAGAGATTTCTCAGTAGCATGTGATGCCATTTGATAATACTTTACCCATTGTAGGACTTCTTTCAAAATAGAAATAAGTTCTCTCAAATCCTACCCTGCTTTGCCAGTTCAGTTAATGTCATAGTCTAACTCTTTTGTTGTCATTTTAACAGTGCTCACAGAAGTTTTACCAGAAGGTTCCATTTGAAGAAACCATTTTCATTCCTCATTTATAAGAATCAACTCCTCATCCATTAAAGTTTTATCATTATAGTGGTAATTTAGTCACAACTTCACATGATAGTTCTAGTTCTTTTGCTATTTCTACTACATGAGCAGTTTCTTCCTTTAATGAAGCACTGAACCCCTCAGTCACTCATGAGGGTTGGTATCAACTTCTTTCTTACATCTGTTAATGCTGATATTTTGACCTCCTCTCATGAATCATGAGTGTTCTAATAGCATCTAAAATAGTACACCCTTTCCAGAAGGTTTTCAATTTACTTCACCAAAATCTATTAGAGGAATCATTACATGTGCCAAATATACTCTTAATGTATTTCTTAAGTAAGGCTTGAAAATAACCCACTATCACTACTCCTATTTGATATAGTTCTGGAAATGTTAGCCATAGCAATTAGACAAGAGAAAGAAATTAAAGCAATAAAGGTAGAAAAGGAAGAAGTTAAACTGTCATTACTTGATGATGATATGATACTCTACATTGAAGACCCAAAAAACTCCACCAAAAGACTTCTCAACTTAATAGACACTTTCAGCAGAGTAGCTAGATACAAGTTCAACACCCAAAAATCAACAGTCTTCTTGTACACAAATAACGGACTCACTGAACGAGAAATTAGGGAAACAACTCCTTTCACAATAACACCCCAAAAAATGAAGTACCTGGGAATCAATCTAACAAAAGAAACAAAAGACCTCTACACTGAAAACTACAGCACTCTGAAAAGAGAGATCGAAGAAGATATAAGAAAATGGAAAGATATCCCCTGCTCCTGGGTAGGAAGAATCAACATAGTGAAAATGGCCATACTACCAAAACTGCTATACAGATTCAATGCAATACCAATTGAAATTCCAACACTATACTTCACAGAACTAGAAAGAAGAATCCAAAAATTCATTTGGAACCATAAGAGACCTAGAATAGCAAAAGCCATCCTAGGCAACAGACACATGGCAGTGGGTACAACAATTTCCAATATGAAACTATACTGCAAAGCCACTGTGATAAAAACAGCATGATACTGGCAAAGAAACAGACCTGAGGATCAGTGGAAAAGACTGGAAGATACAAAAACAATTCCAGATGTACTCAGCTACCTTATCTTCGACAAAGGCGCTGACCATCCCCACTGGAGGAAAGATAGCCTCTTTAATAAATGGTGTTGGAAAAACTGGATCTCAACCTGCCAAAAATTCAAACTAGACCCTTATCTTTCACCATGCACTAAATAAAAATCAAAGTGGATTAAAGATCTAAATATTAAACAGAAACACTAAACTTGCTGGAAGATAAATTAGGCAGAACTCTTGAAGACTGGCATAGGAAAAGACTTTATGAACAAGTCCTCAGTAGTGTGGGAACTAGCAGAAAGAATCAACAACTGGGATCTCATCTTATTAAAAGGCTTCTGCACTGCCAAAGAAACCATCAACAGAACTAAGAGACAACCTACAATTGGGAAAAAAATTTTACCAGCTGCTCCTCAGACAAAGGACTATTATCTAGAATATATAAAGAACTCAAAACAATCAGCACCTCCAAATATAAAGACCCAATTCAAAAATGGGCATCTGAAATGAACAGACATTTCTCAAACAAAGGAGTAAAAGCAGCAAGTAAGTATATGAAAAATGCTCCACATCACTGGTCATTCGAGAGATACAGATGAAAACAACGCTGAGATTCCATCTCACCCCACAAAGAATGGCTGCTATCAAGAAATCAATCAATAACAAATGCTGGCGGGGTTGTGGGGAGAAAGGAATCCTGCTCCACCGTTGATGGGAGTGCAGACTGGTGCAACCACTATGGAAATCAATATGGAGATACCTCAAAAAGCTAGGTCTAGAGGTTCCATTTGACCCAGCCATTCCTCTGCTGGGTATCTTTCCAAAAAAGATTTAAAAGAATCATACCATAGTGATATATGTGCACCAATGTTTATAACAGCACAGTTTGTAATAGCTAAAACTTGGAAACAGCCCATCTGCCCATCAGTTGGAAACTGGATAATGAAGATGTGGTTTTTCTATAAAATGGAATACTACTCAGCCATAAAGAATGAGAAATTAGATTCATTCATAGGAAAATGGATACATATTGAGGATATACTCCTAAGTGAAATAAATAAGTCACACTTGTGTAAATACCAAATTGTTTCTCTGGTGTGAAAAACTATAATAGTACACAAGATCCTAATGGGATAATTTAGAGTGTGAAATAGGAAGAAAAGGGCTAAAGGTGTAGGGAAAGGGGGAAGGGTAGGGGAAATGAAATAAGGGAAAAGAAAAATGTGAGAAAATGAAAAAATGGAAATAACGAATTTGTTAATGGGGAGGGGAGGAGGGGGTGAAGGGAGGACAGGGACAAGGGGAAGAAATGAAAACCAAGACCTGTCATGTGAAGGTACAGGATGTAACTGTATTGTAGACCTAGATTGTATCAATAAACTCAATAAAAAAAACTTATTTCTTGACCCATGCACTACCAAATCTATGTTCATAAGCAGGTAGAGCTTTTTGATGAGCAGGTGCACTGTTAACAAGAAGTAATATTTTGAAAAGAATCTTTGTTCTCTGAGCAGTACATCTTAACAGTGGATTGAAAATACTCAGTAAACCATGTTGTAAAAATGTATGTTATCATCTAGGCTCAATTACAGAGCACAGGCAGAAGAGATTTGTTATAATTACTAAGGGTCTCGGATTTTTGCATTAGTAAGTGAACACTGACTTAAAATCACCTGTTGATTTAGTGTCTAGGCTAAATAAGAGAGTAAGCCTTTCCCCTGTTGCTTAGAAGTTATGCATTGACTTCACCTCTCTAGCTTATCAAGGTCATAGGTGGCCTCTTCTTCCAATAGAAGGCTGTTTTGCCTATACTGAAAATCTAATGTTTAGTGTAGACACCTTTATGAATGTTAGCTGAACCATCTAGATAAATTTCTGCTGCTTCTACATCAGTATTTGCTGCCTCACTTTTCATATTTAATATTAAGGAATTCACTTCTTTCCTTAAACCACATGAACCAATATCTGCTAGCCTTGAACTTTTCTTCTGAAGCGTTCTCACCTCTCATGGACTTCACAGAATTGAAGAGAATTGTATCCTTGTTCTGGAGTAGGATTAGGTTAAAAGGAATATTGTAGATGATTTAGTCTAGCCAGACCACTAAAGCTTTCTCCATATCAGCAGTAATGCTAGCTTATTATTTGTGTATTCACTGGAGTAGCTTTTTTTTTTTTTTTGTACTAGGGATTGAACTCAGGACCTTGGTGATTGCAAGGCAGGCAGTGAACCCTCTGAGCTAAATACCTGGCTCCTGGGGTAGCATTTTAAATTTCCTTCAAGAACTTTTCCTTTGCATTCACAACTTGGCTATTATGGTTTAAGATCTAGCTTTTGGTCTCTCTCAGCTTTTGGCATTCCTTCCTCACTAAACTTAATCATTTGTAGCTTTTGATTTAAAGTGAGATATTTATGGTTCTTCCTTTCATTTGAAATAGAGGCAGTTGGAGATTATTAATTGGTGTAATTCACATACTGTTTTGTTTCAGAGAATAGGGAAGACGGAGGAGAGGGACAGAGATAGGAGGGGCCGTCAGTGAAGCCGTCAGAAGACACATTTATCAGTTCAGTATGCTGTCTCATCTGGGTGCAGTGCACAGTGTCCCAAAACAATTACAACAGTAACATCATTGAGCACGTATCATCATAACTGATACAATAATAATGAGAAGTTCTGAAATGTGACACAGAGACACAAAGCAGGCATACACTATTGGAAAAGTGATGTCGATAACTTGCTCTAGGCAAGGTTGCCACAAGTCCTCAATTTGCAAAAGACCAAAAATAACCTCAATCCCCCCGAAAATTACAACAAAGTGAAGCACAATAAAATGAGAAGTGCCTGTAAATTATACAGTAGTACAGATA